ATATATATATATATATATAATCATTCACAGTGATATTAACTGATAAATGATTATTTTCTTTATAGAAGCTCTACCAGTGAGCACTTATTTGGAGTTAAGTTTGCCGCAAACAGAAAAAGCACGGGCCAGCTTAATCTCAACAGTGGGGGTTTGATCCATTACGTCCATGCTCGGAGCAGCTCGCTCCGGACCAGCCTGATTGGAGAGCGAAAAGCAGACAGACGCAGAAGCAACACACTGGATGTGGCAGACCGATGCGTCGATAGTCATGCAAATCTGCTGCGCACAAAGAGCTTATCATCACTAGGAGGAGGAGGAAGTCCAGGAAGAGACACCGTCCCGCCTGTTGACCCCTCAAATCTGATGGCCACTGTCTTCTGGATTGCCACCTCTTTGCTGGAATCAGACTATGAGTTTGAGTACCTGCTGGCACTGCGGCTCCTCAACAAGCTGCTGGGCCAGCTTCCTCTGGATCGCACAGACAGCAGAGAACGTTTGGAGACGATCCAGGCTAAGTTGAAGTGGTACAACTTCCCTGGTCTGCTGCAGCTCTTCCTAAAGGGCTTTACTTCTGCTTCTACACAGGAGCTCACCATCCACCTGCTCAGCAAGCTTATCAGTGTTTCCAGACACACTCTGGTAGACCCCACACAAGTGACAGGTACGTACTGCTGACACGATTAATATAAAACCAACAACTCAAATTTATATAATATGTTAATTTTCTTGTTTATACATGTGCACAGGTTTTCCTTTGAATATCCTGTGCCTTTTGCCACACCTCATCCAGCACTTTGACAACCCCACGCCTTTTTGCAAGGAGACAGCTGATAAGATTGCCAAAGTGTGTGCAGATGAAAAATCAGCCACGCTCTCTAATCTGGCCCACATGATGAGCTTGTACAGTACACACAGCTACTCTCGCGACTGCACCAATTGGATCAATGTGGTTTGTCGTTACCTCAATGATGCCTTTGCTGAGAAAACCTTAAACCTGGTCACTTACCTGGCTGAGGTATGTGAGAATATATCAGACTTCTTTGTTACTCACTAAAATCAGTGTTGATGATAAATATTTGGTTGTTTGTGTCTCTTAGCTGCTGGAGAAAGGCCTTCCCTACATGCAGCAGTCCTTGCTGCAGATCATCTATAGCCTTTTGAGTCATATTGACTTATCAGCAGCACCTGTCAAACTGTTCAACCTCGAGATCATGAAGATCATTGGCAAATATGTTCAGGTAAGCTTTGTGCCAAATTTGGTAACAAAGATACATTTGAAAAATGTTTCAGTCGTTCCTTATGTTAAATTTGAAACTGATTTTAAGGTTTGCAAATTGCTTTTATCTTTACTGCGAGTTTTAGATGACTTTTCTTTGATAAAAGACAAAATTATAGCTGTTTTAGTTGAACCTTAAAAATAACACAATGCACAATCTCATGCAATACTACAAAATTTCACGAGATCTCTTAGTGCTTGAAGTATGTATTTAATTTAAAAAAAAATTCTGTTGGCTAAGTTTTGTTAGCTGTGGCAGCCTTCTTGAGCTGGATTATCTCCAAAAGTTAATCACTTGAAGATGTTTGTCTAATGACAACTGTTGCCTGCGTTGTTCATCAGCCTAAGCTTTATGGAAGAGTTGCAAACTGAAAGCCTCTGTTGAAACGAAACATACATTCAGGGCCATTGGGGAAACACTGGCCACTACCTTGCCAAATTTTAGCTCTGTATCTGTAGATTTGACTGAATGATGGTCACTTTTGTGGATACTAAGGATGTTCAGCTGTAGCAGCCATACGGAATTGGGCTGACTTCTAAAGGTAATCAGTTGTAGATGTAAAATTACATTATGTCTGGGAGTTTTATTAGAATCCATCCAGTGGTTCATGTTGAGATATTTAACATGAGACGGACTATCACACGCAGGCACACACACACACACACAGACATACTTGCAAAAAGCTTGTATATTGACAGTGGGCACTAAAAAAAAACAACCAATATCTTGTTAATGATTAGTTACAGTTTTGGATTTTTTTTTGTTTTGTTTTGTTTGTTTGTTAGAAACCAGTAGCAAAAATGGGTTTTGGTATTGTTGGTGTGACCATTGCAGGGTACATAATTAGGCCCGAGCAGCAAAGCGCTGCGAAGGCCTATTGTAATCGCTCTGTTCAGGCCCGAGCTGCAATTTTTTCCACCAAATGAATTGGTGTTTTAGGGGCCTTAGAATATCCCAACACTCACCAAATTTGGCGGACACATCAGAACTGGTGAAAAATTATATTTTTTAAGGGCGTGGCAAAAATTGCAACAGAAAAGGCTCAAGAGTGCCACCTAGAAATTTTCAAAATACCCTCCGCTTTAACCTTAGTTTGTCATAGAAACATGAAATTTGGTATGCTTGTCCAATTCTCCAAGATGCACAGAAAACCCTTTGGCCCCAACATTGGACGATAAACAGGAAGGCGGCCATTTTGGAATGCTGGCCCAATTTTCACACCTTTTTGGCGGTTTACAGCCTCTGCATTTGAACGAAATCCTCCTAGGAATTTTGCTCAATCGGTTTCAAACTTGGCCATTTTGGTCAAAAGGCATGGGGGACGCAAAGTTATCTAAACGGTTCGTTTCGGAGCATGCTGAAGGTGCGGGGCCAGACCTCAAAGTTTGACATCTCTCCATGAAAAACAAAAGACTGAATGGTCAAATCATGACATCACTTAAGCCACGCCCCCTGACAACAGGAAGTATAAAGTTTTATTTTGAACGATCCCTATCTGACCCCTGTTACCTGATCAGCATGATAGTGTGTCCAGTGACCGAAGACATGTTGGTGTAACCTGCTTTCCAACACTGACAGTTTTGGGTGGAGCATGTGGGCGACGTGGCGTGGCGAAATAAGATGTAACGCCGTCGCCATGCGTTTGGCTCTAAATTCCACAGTTTTGAACCGAGGTGCACCAAAATCAGTATGATCGATCATTATCCACCCCTTGAACAGGAAGCCATGATAATTGGCCAATAGCCTCCACAGCGCCCCCTAGAATATTTTAAATTCTCAGCCCCAAGCCATGTTTTGACCGATAATTCTGAAACTCGGTGAACGTCTGTATCTTCTCAGGACCTATGAAAAAGTCTCTTGAAGCCCTGGTCCAAAACCAAGAGGAAGTCGGCCATTTTGGGTCAAATGGTCATTTTTGGGCGTTTCTAATTGCGAATTTGAACAAACTCCTCCTAGGATTTTTGAAGGATTGCCTTCAAACTTGGTTGATATGCCCTTAAGACATTGAAGAGTAAAGGTTATCTAAAGCTTGCGTTTTCGTTGATGTTAAATGGGCGTGGCCAGGCCTCAAAGTTTCGCTTCACGCCATAAATTTCCAAACACTATAACTTTCACATTGAAAGATCAAAATGCACAAAACTTGGCATGACTCATCCCTGTTGGATGTCTGACGATCCACTGTGGTCATATTTTGACGTAATCAAAGCCCCGCCCCCTTGGAACAGGAAGTCTCTTTTTTTAACTTGGAATGCTCCCTCTTTGACACGATTGACCTAATCAGGATGAGCCTGTTTTAGAAGACAAATAATACGGTCTGACTTGATTTAAAGCGCAAACCGTTTTTGCTTGAGGATGTGGGTGTGTCGGCGTGGCGAATTAAGAAGTGACACCGTTGCAATACGTTTGGCTCTAAAATACACAGATTTCAGCCGAGGTGTACCAAAATCACTATGATCGATCATTATCCGCCCCTTGAACAGGTATCCATGATAAGTGGCCAATAGCCTCCACAGCGCCACCTTCATTATTCTTACAGTTATAACTCAGTGATACAACATTCGATCTGCATCAGATTTATTGTGCGTCATCAGTGAGGACTTTTAGAAACATTGATATGGTGGTTTAACATATGACTCTAGTGCGCCCCCTAGATTATTCCAACAGTTATATCTCATTGATACATCATCCTATCCGCAAATGATTTTGGGTGTGTCATGTGTGAGCATTTCTAGACACATTGGTATTGTTTAACATTTGACTCGTGTCCCCCCTTGATTATTCAAATTGTTATATCTCCATGATATATTATCCGATCTGCACCAGATTTGTTGGGAATGATCAGTGAGCACTTCTATATACATATGTTTGGTTGTTTAACATTTGACTCAAGTGCGCCCCCTTGATTGTTCCAAAAGTTATATCTCAGTGATATATCATCTGATCTGAACCAGATTTTGGGTGCATCATTAGTGAACACTTATAGACATATTGTTTTTTAACTTTGGACTCGAGTGCGCCCCTTACATTATTCCAACAGTTATATCTCAGTGAAATATCATCCAATATGTACCACATTTATTGTGCGTGATCAGTGAGCACTTAGACACATTGGTATTGTTCTTTAACATTTGACTCTAATATCTCAGTGATATATCATCCAATCTATGCCAGATTTTGGGTACGTCATTAGTGAGCACTTCTACACACACTGGTATTGTTGTTTAACTTTTGACTCCAGTGCGCCCCCTACATTATTCCAACAGTTATATCTAAGTGATACATCATTCAATCTGAACCTGATTTTTTTGTGCTTCATCAGTGAGCACTTGTAGACACATAGGTATTGTTGATTCGTGACATCACTTAAGCCCCACCTACTCATAGAAAAAACTGTTGATTATTGGTTGACACTTCCAGCTTCGCACTGTGCAAGATATTAGACTGAAACTTTGTTCGCTAACTGCTGATTACCACACATGACATGTTGAAAAGCATAAAGGAGGTGCTTGTCAAACATTTGCAACAAAACAGGAAGTCACCATAACTCCTGTCTGGAAGGTCAGATTTCGACTATACTTGTAAGACCTGCAGCTGGACAAGTAATGACATGGACGGAAGGTGATGTCGAAGATTTGGGAAATGCGCACCGTGGTGAACGTGTGTGGGGTTGGCTTGAGAATGTGCGCGATTGCGACTGGGTGGACAAGCTGGAGGTCCCGCGGTTGCCATAAGGCCGGAGCGGTGCTTTACTGCGAGGGCCTCCAATGCTGCTTGCAGCTTTAATTTCTGGTATTTTTATTTTATCTGGTATTTTTTTATATTATTTGCTTTTTTTTTTTTTATGTGTGATTTCTTGTGTATGTTCCTTTGTACAGAAACTCTGGCACAACAATTTCCTGCAGGATCAATAAAGTTCTATCTTATCTTATGTCCTTTGTGCAATATATGCTTGAGTAACTACTTACATTTATACTAAATTGTTACAGGGTCCAGTACATGCGCTCAGAGAAAGAATGGTATTTACAGAGTTCTTCTTCCACCTTATTATCTGGGTGTCCAAATACTTCTTTAAAACATCTTCAGTTGATCCAAAATGCTGCTGCCAGAGTCTTAACTATAGGATTTAGCAAAAAGGAAAGTCTTAAGCCCAGTCTTAAAACTGGACAATGTGTCAGCCTTACGGACAGACACTGGAAGTTGGTTCTATAAGAGAGGCGCCTGATAACAGATCTTCCTCCCATTCTGCTTTTGGAAACTCTAGGAACCTAAAGTAAGCCTGCAGTCTGACAGCGAAGTGCTCTATTAATAAAATATGGAACAACAAGATCTCAAATATAAGATGGAGCTAGATTGTTGAGAGCTTTGTAGGTTTGAAGTAAGATTTTGAATTCAATTCTGGACTTGACAGGGAGCCAATGGAGAGAAGCTAAAACTGGAGCAATATGATCTCTCCTACTAACTGCCTTAAGAACTTTCTGCACTGACTTCCTGTCAGTCTCTGTTTATTGACTGTGTTGTACATATGCATTTACTTTGGACTGGTGCACACAGTCATTTATTAAGATTCTTTAGGAAGATTGTACATTAGACAGAACAGTGTTTCCCCTAGATAACGTGCCATGGCGGGGTGCTCATCTCGTTCGGGATTTTTGTGGGGGTGTGGGGGGACGGACGGACAGAGACACGTCCTAAGCTGCGTACAACGCTGTTTAAATCAACAGTTTTAGAGGGGGGTGGGGGACACAGAAACAGCCGCATGCTGTTTGCACCAACAGTTTTACAATTTTAGAGCAGAGCGTGGGAGAGGAGAGAGACAGACACACCTCAGCCACACGCTGTCTGAACCGATTTTTTTTGGTGGTGTCGAGGTTAAAGTGGAACTGTGATCAAAAGGTAACTTGTTCAAATCCCCCTGCTGACTGTTACATCAATACACCATCTATGAATGGTGTTCCTGTTGTGTTTGTGGATTATACACAAGTGCCCCGCCCTGTCACAAACCAAACTCACCCCCACCACCATCATCATCGACGAGATGAGCGCCCCACCATGGCAAGTTATGTCGGGGAAAAACTGGAACGCCCCTACAAGCACCCTGCAGACATTGGACGCTGTCTGTCACGGTGCGCTAAGATTCATAACTGGCTGTAAATATCCTGCTCTGTATTCACTAGTTAACTGGTCCTCATTAACTTGACACAGGCTCTGTCACTGGTACATTTTCATCTTTAAATCACTTCTTGGTCTGCTGCCTTCGTACATCTCCTCCTACATGTCACGTTGTCAGTGCAGCTACAGTATGTGCTCCTAAAATGACATTACCTGCAGTGTCCCCTCAGTGAGGATTGAACTCAGCAAAAGGACCTTCTCTTACTCCACTCCTATTTTCTGGAATATCTTGCAAAAAGATCTGAGGCTCTCGACCTTGACCACTCTAAGGGATTTTAAACAACTGTTAAGTTCTTGGCAAAAATTAACGGAGACGTGTTCCTGTTTTTTGCATTTTTACCTCGTTTCATAATGTAGCTAGATTTTTTTTTTTTTTGGTGTGTGTGTGTTTTATAACTACTTTGTATTTAGTTTTCATTTTATATGCATTTTATGGCTGTTTATTGTTGTGTGTACCTCATCTGTGTTCTTTGTTTATAACATGTCTCTCTTGTAAATGAGTCCTCATGACTCGATGTGACTAACCTGTATAAATAAAGGTTGAATGAATGAAAAGAAAAAAAAAATACTGCCTCCACCCTCATTTACCCCACTCTGGGCCCTTGAGCAAGGCCCTTAAGCCTCTGCTCCGCTGGGCAAGCTAGATGGCAGCTCTCTGCTCCACACAGAGGGCTGTGGTAGCTCGGTGGTCTGTGGTTGCATCAGGAAGGGCATCCAGTGTAAAACAATTGCCAAAGGCTGGTGAAAGTTCTCTCACTGTGGCGACCCCTGAGGAAGGGAACAGCCAAAAGGAGAAATCTACAGAGGCCCATGTACCACTTGTTTTCTTGGTATAGAATGACAGTACTTTGTTTTTTGTTCCAGAGCCCGCACTGGAAAGAGGCCCAAAACATCCTGAAGTTGGTGGTGTCTCGTTCAGCCAGCCTCGTTGTGCCAGACGACGTGCAGCGCTCCTACAGTTCAGAATCTTGCGGCTCACCAGAGATTGCATTCACACGCATCTTTAACAACTCCTCTAAGGAGCTACCTGGCAAGACTTTGGACTTCTATTTTGACATCTCAGAGGTCAGCATTTTTAATAAAACAGTTAAATCACATTTGAAAAATAATATCAGTATCTTATTGCTCACTTGTTTTGTGCTCTTAGACGCCAATTATAGGCCATAAATATGGTGATCAACGTACTGCAGCTGGTCGAAATGGAAAGGCACAGGTGATTGCTGTAACAAGGAGCACCTCCTCTACATCATCTGGCTCCAACTCCAACGGTCTGGTGCCAGTAAGCTGGAAGAGGCCTCAACTGTCTCAGGTACCTGCTCAAACACAAACAAGTCATTTTACACAGGAACTAATCAAAGACTGTGAGGCAGAACTCAGTCATGGATAAGTTTCATCAGGTAGCTGTGATCTGTCTTTTACAGGTCCTTCTCAAAAAATTAGCATATTGTGATAAATGTCATTATTTTCCATAATGTAATGATAAAAATGAAACTTTCATATATTTCAGATTCATTGCACACCAACTGAAATATTTCAGGTCTTTAATTGTTTTAATACTGATGATTATGGCATACAGCTCATGTAAACCCAAAATGCCTGTCCCAAAAAATTAGCATATCATGAAAAGGTTCTCTAAACAAGTTATTAACCTAACCATCTGAATCAACGACGTAACTCTAAACACCTGCAAAAGATTCCTGAGGCTTTTAAAAACTCCCAGCCTTGTTCATTACTCAAAACC